TAGAGCCAGGAGACATTTTTATAGCACAGGGAAAAAGGACACCTATTGCATTGCCATGCAGAGATATAAGCACTGACAGACAATTAGTGAATGTTTTTCCCTTCCGTCTTTGGGTGGGAGAGAGAGCTACAGAGGAAGGATTTCTCAAATTTCACATCAAGAAGTAATAAAGATAGGAATTTCTTAAGAAGGTTTAGTAAGCATCAGAGATATTACTTTTTGCTGTCTGCAGGGAACTGTATCTTTACGCACTTCTTGGAGCAGCTAGCTGGAACAGGCTCCTGTGCTGACTGAGCATTTGGATAGGAAAAAAAATGAGAAAGGAAGCAAACCAATGTCAGACTCTGCCTCCAAGTTTCTTTGAGTAGGACATGGCATGAGGCAAAACTAATTAAGCTGATGGAAGAATAGCATCACCAGAAGCATACTCTGGAGAAGACAGCAGCATTTCATGAAGGCTCCAAGCCATGTCTGGCAATGGCAACAGAAAATGACCTGATGTCAAAACACCCCAAAAGAAGGCTGTCAATACAGGAGAAGAAAAAGATTAAAAAAAAATAATTATATATATATATATATATACACACACATATATATATGTATATATATACATATATACATACACATATATACGTATATATATACATATATATATATATATATAAATTTTTCTTTCAGCTGGGCGGGACAAAGAAGAAAGTCAAAGTCCAGGAGAGCCTGTGCTGAATGACCCAAGATTGAAGTGGTAAGTTAGAGTTACAGGTGCAAACTGGGTACATAATGTAAGCCCAGTTTGGATGGGGAGGAGAAGGGACTGGGAAGAATTCAGTAGACAGAGGTTCCTGAAAGTAAACCAGTCTTTAAGAAAGTAGAGAGTTTTGCTAACAATAGAAATTGCCCAGTCCAGACAGAAGACATCACTTCCTGAATTACTGGCTTAAAGAACAAAGCTGGCATGAGAAGTTTCCACTCCTTTTCTCTCAAGACTTGGACACAACTTCATTGAACTGTACCTTGACATGTTTCTCACAGAAGCCAGTTTGAATTGGTTGTGCTGGGCTGAGGAGCAGTGCTCAGAGACTGAGCTCAGAAAAAAAGGATGAAAAAAATGGTCTCAAAGTGTAGGCTCTGAGGTATTTCTGACCAGGAAAAACATATTAAAAACATTGTAAGCAGAAGAAGGTTGTGCACTAGGACTGGATCATTGAAGCAATTCAGGTAAAAAATAACCCCTTTCTTTTTTGGAACATCCAGCCGTTCATATAGCAAAACTCTAAATTGACTTTAGAAGCCTACTGAGGCTTGTATGCTACAAAACTGCCAAAAATGTAAGGGGGGAGAATTGATAAAGTTCTGATGTCATAAATTAGGATTCTTTTTTAATGATGTCCATTAAAAAGACAAAAAAAAAAAAAAAGAGAAAGAAAAAATAATAATAAAAAAGAACCTTCAGGCAGAAAAGAAGGTGGAGAGGCCAGTGTTGGAGCTTACAAAAAATATACACGTATCATGTGGGGTTACACATGCTGTGGCAAACAGCATGGGCCAAGAAAATGCCCAACATTTGGAAAGCAATACAACTATAATGGATTACAGTACTTTGTAAGAGTATGCAACACCACCACATGGACAAAGATGATGGCAACAATATCCACCATGAAGTCAGAGGAACTTTTCTAGCAGCCTGCAGGCAAATAAAAATTCATTCATTTCTACTTGACTGGAGGGTATGCACAGGTGTAGTGCCAGAAACACTGATATTGGTACCAAAGAAGAGCTACAGAAATAACAGTTAGATTCAGTGAAAAAACAGAGACAACTATTACGAAATTAAGTACATGAATTTAAAAAAAAAATTAAATGCAATCTGTTCCTGCACCCTCTGGACACCCACTGGTAGTTAGTAAGCTGTTCAGATGCTTTTCAAACAGCTCATAATATTAATGATCATTTCTGTTATTAGTTTGCTGGCAAAGGAGTAGGCAGGGAGCTGCCCCTTTCAGAAGGCACCACAAGAACCAGATGGCACCAGGCTCAATGCTGAGCACGGGGGCTGTGTTACACAGAGGCATCCAGCTGAAACTCATCTGCTGAAGGAAATCCCTTCTGGCCCAGGTGGCTCACCTCAGTCACAGCATCTACATGTGTGAAGAGCCTGGGATTAAAGAAATATTAAAAAAAATCTCTCTAGAAAAAAGGGGTGATTTTTCCCAGATGAGGAAGGAAACAGAGGCTACATCCTTAGGGATGGACCTAGATTTCCAAGGAGATTAGACATTCTCCACAGAACCCTCCAGTTCTCACAACAGTATTTACATTGCAACCCTGGTTTTCCACATAGACAGCAGAAGTTGCCTTTGGAGTAGTAAACTCAGGTTCACAACTCAGATGTTCTCATGGTACTCCTTGGTTTAAGGACTGGAAACATGAGTATGGCAAAGTAGTACTTCTTTTACCTGGCAGAGAGGTAAAAAAAAAAAAAAAATCTGACAGACTATCTTGCTTTGAGTGTTAATAGCTGTAAATGTTTCTAGGTTTACTACTTTAAAAAATAAAAATAAAAATCATTAAGAAAGCTGTCAATGAGATAAAACTACCCATCTGGCATTGTTCCCTATTCAAACAGATTCCTGATAATTAGGTAGGAATAACATTTTGTTCTTCCCTTAATGAGGTGCTAATTTTCTGGAAGTACTTTATGCTTTAGTGTCTTCTGATTGTCCCTGGCTTCGCTGTTGTTCAACAACCATTTTAACCCACAGAGGAATTGTCACTCCCACTTCCCCCTGTCCCAAATAGTAGCAAGTTCCCATTTTCCACTTAGAAATGTTTTAAAGTAGCATTCATAGGAGAAACAAGAGCTAGAGCCTTTTAAACTTTAATTTCCAGCTAATGTATTCCCCTGAGTAATTCTAGTCTGTGATTTTGGCATAGCAGAGATTAATTACTGGACAGATGACTCATGGGAACAGTTGGCTGCAATGTGTTGGATTTTGTAATGGGAAGGGAGACCAAGACACAACATGAACTATTTTCCTTTTTGCAGTATACAGTAACCTTCACTCCACAAAGTTTCATGCATGGGTGTTGTCTTTAAATGGGAGAACTATACCGTGTGCTGAGTGCACAGGCACATTGTCAGAGCTCATGACATGAACCTAAAAATGAACAATTTGCTTTAAAATAACTTGTGCAAGAAAGACTGATTTTATAGCAGAAGAGCTAAGTTTCCTGTGTATCTATAGATCTGTACACACACACACAGACACACACAAACTGTTTACTCCTTCACCTCCTACACAGAGAACCCTGGGAGGTGCTAGATTGCAAGCAAAGCTCGTACTCTTCACACCATGCAAATGCTCCATGCTCTCCCTCTCAGTGGTGGCCAGTTTTCTGTGCTGGTGAGACAAGGAGCCTTGTTGTTTCCTGTCCTTTCCATTCTCATTGCGATCATTTGTACATGCGCAGGCACAAAGCTGCACATACAGTTGCATTTAGCCTTTGCGCTAGGACATGATTTCATTTTTGCCTGCATTTTTATAGGCTTTCTACAGTGCTGAGCAGGTGAAAAACACCACAGTTCAGGTAGAAGCCTATACCTGCCTTACAGTGAAATAAAAAACTACCTGGCAGTCTAGTTATAGTAAAGCACAGAACAATGCTGCACACTCTGCCTTCTAGTGTCACTTTCATTTGCTAAGGGCAAAGAGAAGTGTATTCCTGCAGTATTTTTTAAGGTTCCTTTATATACAGTAAATTGAAGCAGCCCTCAAGAGAATTTTCATTTTCTGTTTTACCTGCCTAAAAAAATTAAAAAATGCTACTGCAACACCAGCATTTTTCTGGAGAAGGAATGAACAACTCAGATAGCTACCGTTTTCAGAATCCGGAACAGGTAAGGATGGTTTGGTCATTAGTTCAATCAGGCAATTCAATGAAACAGAATATGGAGGGCTGTCTTCCACTCCACCAATATCCTCTTAATGTGCACATTTGCATATATCTGCTTTATTCAGGGCTTTCCAAGTTTTACAATTGTATTTTCATCAGTCTGAAGGCTAATATTTTCTTTCTGCATATAACATTCACCACCAGAACTACATAAAGATTATGGATTAAAATCCATGGCTCATGCAATAATGCATACAATCTACTTCCATGCAAAGACTCCTGATGGAGCATTTCTCTGTTAGAAGCAAATAAGAGTACAACAGTGGAGCTGTACACATTTGTCTGCTTACCTGTTGCTGCAAAGGACATCAGAGAACTTGAAGACTATTTGTTACTTTTTTTTTAAGTAGCATTGAGGCTGAGAATTAGGGAGTCAGCCTTCTTTTCCGATACAACTACTTAAGAATTTTTCAATAAAACTGAGGTTTGGGAGGGTTTTTCAAAAAAAATAAGATTGAAGAGACATTTTTTATTACTTCTGCTAGTGCCTACCTCTACTAGTGCTTAGCAGAAGAGTTATTTCACACACTAGATATCCAAGAACTACTTCAATCTGTAAGTGCCTGTCCAAATCACTTATTTTTGCTACGATGTAAAGCTGCTGTACTTGAAAGTCGAGGTTTACTGTTGCTTGTCAACCCATGCATTCCCTGGCATACACAGGGTGGCAAGTGGGTCTGGCATGCAAACCAAGCAGCAGGCTGCATGAATAGGGCTAGCAGCTATGGGATCATGGAATCATCTGCATTGGAACAGCTCTTCAAGATCATCAAGTCCAGTCACCAAGCTGAACTACTGAGTCACATTATTAAACCACATCTCTTGGTGCCACATCAGTAAGAACTCAGTCCAAAATGCCCCTTATCTTTAACTTCAACCCAGGATGAATCCTAAAATGCCCCTCAAACTTGGCACAGAGTAGAAAGCTGATGAGCGTTCCTACAAAGCACATTCCTTCCTATGCTGATGTCCCTGAGTCAGGGCATATGACACTCTCATTGTGGGCTGAGAATTGCTGAAAAAATGGAAAGATGAGGGGTTCCTACCTGAATCATCTCAGGGAAACAGCAGCCTCTGAAGCTCCAAATCTTTCCAAAGCTACTGCAGCACTGGGCATCACTGAGTGACTGTGCCTCCACAAATACATACTGCTGAAAAGCACATAGAAATTCATCAAACCCAAGTAATACAATGGCTGAGTAAAAATCTTTCATAGAGGCATAAGCTCAAGTGTCTTGCCTTGCAACTACAAGATGTCAGGTACAAGAACTACACAGAAAAAAAAAAAAAAGGTCTTTACCTTCAACTCCCAGCACCTCTGCTAACCTGCTTCACCTGGTGCAGCAAGACATAGAGCTGTGTTGACACAAAAACCCTGAAAAAGGAGATCCTGCTTCTTTTAAAGGCTTGCAGCCCTGGGAGATCTTAGGGTGTACCCTGAATAATTAACTGGGCCTTCAAGATATATCCTTAGTGAATACATATGCCCTTCAAGATACATCCTTAGTGAATACATATGCTTTAAGATATATATTACTAGTTAATACAAGATTAGAGACATGCCTGTCTTTTTACTCTACTCTACCAGAATAAAACTGGCTTGTGAGAGCATGTCATCTCCACACACACCTCCTAGTGTTCGGTAATTTTGAAAGAATGACCTCAAGACAAATGTTTTAAGTGAGTGCGTCCAGAACACACATGGTAGGCAGTGCAGAAGGTACGTATGGAAGAGCAGTGCAGTGCTCACGTAGAAATAGCTGAAGATACCTTCATGAGAACACAGGTTCTCATTACAAAATATGCTTGGGAAGTTAGTCACTCCTTGTGTATAATTGATATTACATGATCTGTATTCACACAGAGCTTTCTGACAGATCAATACCTGAGCCCAAAATTTCTCAAACTTCCAGCTTTTCTCTGTGGGCCCTGTTTTACTATTCCTTAACAATTAATTAACTGTTTCTGCAATGTGTAACAGTCTGAAGAGTTAGATTTCTAAACAGATGTTATTATATTTTACAGCAGGCCCACTGAGTGGCCTGGAATACTGTTGTTCTCAAATGTACGTCACTGTGATCATCCATTATATCTGAACTTACATAAAACCTTAGAGATCAGCTAGTACATTGGATAAACATTCAGTAATAACTCAACTTATGATGAAATTCAAGTGACTTAGAAGCTTGACTCTATGTTCTCACTCTTATAATGTCAATGTCTGTGTTACCCTTTTTGGTTTTGTTTTTGTTTGTTTGTTTGTTTTAATGGCACATATGAGATCTAACTCTTTCCTTTTAGGAATCTATGCTGAAAACTTTTGCTTGCACCCCAGAAAGAGATGTTTTGGCCAAATAAGTAAAAGAAAATTAAAGTAAAATATTAATTATATTATTTTGTCAAAAATCTAGCCATCTGAGATGACACAGGCCAAATCTAGGTTTGAACAAGACAAGAAGCTACCGTAGCACATCAAACTACTCAGAAGCACCAAATGGACCACCATCTATATTGCTAGTGTCAGTAGCCTGGAAAGGCAAACAGGCTGCTGATAGATGAGCTGCCAATTGTGAAGAAGAGTGGTTAGTCCTGGTGCGGGAAGAATGTCTCCATCTCCTGAGAAGAGGAGACCCAGTTTGCAGATCTTTTTCTCTGCTTGTCAATCCCAGCACCTCTGTGGTGGGTGGCTGCAGAGGCATAGTTAGACCCTGGTGGGTTCCCAGCTCCTCCTGCAATCCAAGAAAACCTTGATCCTGTTCAGAGCAGGATGCACAGTCCAGCTGCTTCAACTAGAAATTAGAAATAAAAGCACACAGCTTGTTTCATTATAACAATTCCTCAGTGCCAGCACACACTGAAGTGCAAAATTGATTGAACGTTATTAGACTCATCATCCTACCCTAAGCAAATCTTAAGTGTCACCTAACACCAACTGCTTGGAAGCCCAGGACTGAACAGGGATGCCTAGTTAATTTATTTACAGAATTCTATATACATAGTGTGCCTGATCCTATTCTAACAGAATTCAGTTTGTATTTTTCCATTAAGTTTAGCAGGCACAAGAAAGGGTCACTGAAGAGGAAACAGCTTGAGATATGCAATGTTGGTTTAGCAAAGTTGTAAATAGCTCCTTTTGTGTGAAGGCGTTACTGTTTGTTTTAAGTGCATTTGGCTGTTGTTTGGATTTCTATACAGGGATGTACTGTTAAATATGGATTTCTTTTAACTTGGAGGATTTTCCTGGAGAGGAGAGGAGAGGAGAGGAGAGGAGAGGAGAGGAGAGGAGAGGAGAGGAGAGGAGAGGAGAGGAGAGGAGAGGAGAGGAGAGGAGAGGAGAGGAGAGGAGAGGAGAGGAGAGGAGAGGAGAGGAGAGGAGAGGAGAGGAGAGGAGAGGAGATAAATTTCAATAGTCTTTGAATAAACATTTCATTCCAGAACTGACATTTCTGCAGATATCTTACAGCATATTCCTGATTATTGAAGTAGGAAATGACAAATGACTAGCCATGCCTGTGCTAGATACAGCTTTGCCTTTGACCTTGAGAACTTTTCCAGAGATATCAGTAAGGAAGGAATCTCTTGCATGTAGCACAGAGTAATGCACTACACAAAGAGGTTGACTTGTCTCCTCAAGTAAGGTCACATGCCTCTTGCAGGATTGCAGGAGTGTTATTATTTCTCCACATTAGCATCTGCTTTATGTGTTTTGTAGTTTTAAAAATAGATTCTTCCCAGAAGTGACTGTAAATATTAACTACTCCAAAAAAAAAAAAAAAGCTTGTAATGTCAGATGTAAGCATAGGCAAACCTGATTTAGACGGCCAAAAAACTGCTGAAAGATCTCACTCCTTCTCTTGTGTTTGCTCAGTATAGCATTTTCTTTCTTCCTCCCGGGAAAGTCTGGGGGGAAAAAAGGGAGCAGAAGGAATTCTATTCCTTGTGTGTCATCTTTACCCCCAAAATAGAAAATACCCAGGAAAAAGGAGCTATACTGTCCACCCTGGCAGTCAGAGCTTCAAAGACATTTGGAGGTTTTCACCATCTTCTGGAACTTGCTGCTAGAGGAGCTTATGCAGATAGACAATATCAGTGCAGATGCCAGTAACAGAAATAGCAAAATCCATCTTGCCTATTCTACTGGCATGCCTTAAAATAGGCATCTCCAGCCAACTGTCTTCTCAAAAGTGTATGATGGAGTAGGGAATCTAATGTACTCTGTCCCTTACAGTTTGGGGGACAGCGTTCAAGAAACTGTCAGGAAAGCTTCAGGAACATTTTGGGATTTAAAATTCCTTTTGACTTTCCTACAAACCTCACTGAGAATACTCGCGTGTCCTTAGGTGTCATAGACTTATCACAGTGGACATGGTCATGGGCAGCCTGCTCTAGGTGGCCGTACTTAATCATACTGGTGACCTCCAGAGGTCCCTTCCAACCTAAACCAATCTGTGATTCTATGACATCTAAGCCCCATTACTAATAGCAGCATGATGATGTTAACACAGCAACAGTTCATCTATCCCTTTTGAGGCTTAGATCCACCTTCCTGAGGCTCTGCAAGCACTGATACAAGCTCCTGGTCAGCATAGTTCCTAATTAGTAAATTAGATTAGCTTTTACCCTATGTTTTATAGGGCAATTCTAATGAGTACTGGGTTCTATAAAAGCTGATATTATCTGCCTAAGAGATTCTTTCTGTATGGTGAACACATCTCCTCTTACACACCACTGATTATTACACCACTGACTATTGCACCACTTGTTCTTTCACAACAATTACAGAAACAGTATGAGAAAAAGAACAAATATAAAAAATGGATCCATATGAATCTCAGAGGCTTCTGAGTCTGGTGACATTACGATCCATAAATTTGTTTCAATGACCCATAGCAATATTTCTGCATTGTCACACTTGGAAATCACTCATGACTTCAACTCAATTGATTCTTTTAAATTCAACTAATTCTACTGCAAGATGTGAGAACAGAATGCTTACCTCCCTTCCCCTGACATGCGTAGGCACCTGAATGGGCCAGGACAGAGTTGTTTTCTGATAAACTAAAATAAAGAAATTCAAATTCTAAAGTCATCTCTCAGGTTTCACAGCCACAACTTCCCTGTATTAAATATGATTGTACATTTCACAGACAAGCAAGACAGGTTCCTGACATTTCCAAGGAATCAATATACATTTCATCTGTATCCCAGAGAAACCGAACTTCACAAAATGCTTATGCAATTACTACAGAGTCTGATTTCAATGCCCAGGAATTTTCAGGTTTTATCTATGTGTAGATGTCTTAGCTTCCAGGCCATTACACAGAGACTTGAGACATGTTATAGTCACAGATGTTTCCTGTGCATTATCACTGACAACTTCCAGTGAGAGGTGCCATATTAATAGGCAAGAAAATTCGATTTTGACAAGATGCCAAGAAGTCCAATTAGAGCTTCTGTGTCTGTGGATTGTCTCTTTCATTGTTGCTATATTTTCACCCTTCTAAAACTGATAATTTTATTGTCTTTTATGATTATTATCTAAGCCTCCTGCTGTCTCCAGAACTACATGCTGTAAATTAGTACTTTTATCTCAGTAGGGTATTTCTAAATAAACAAAGGTATGCAAGGAAATTGAGATGACAGAGACAGCTTTTGTTTGTGCTCTTAGATTAATGGAAATCTAGATAGGACTTCATAAAGGAAGAAAACATCTCCAAGTTTTGGTCAGTGGATGGCCTCATTCAGAAGAATTGCATTATCTTGCTACCCAGCACCTATTACAATACCAGTATGTCTTAGCAAAAGAAATCTTGTGTTGTAATTGTGCTTAGAAGTGCTAAAGCACATGCTATGCACCACAGCAAAAAGATAGATTGTCTGTGGGTTTTTCTACTTCCTCATAATGTTTACTTTCTCTCTCTACAAATACTTTGAACAAGTATTTTTTCTTTTCTGTCATACTTCTTTTGGCTGTTGCCTTACTCTCTCCAAAAACCCATGGTCCTTTAGACAGCCCTGGTAATCACCATCTATAAATCATCACAGTGATTTCTGAACATTGACCTTTACCTCCTCCATTTTAAGTGAAAGAGCAAGTGCCTCTCAGCAGCTGGAAAAGCTCTATCCAGCAGCAAGCAATGTTGGCTCAATATACTTCTTACTAAATTCCCTAGAAAGTTACTATTAACTTCAACAAGGCCAGCATCAATTCAGTACTACTGTAGTCATCACTCCCAGTACTTCACATCATTCTTTCTTTCCCAGTAAACAGTCACCAAGATTCAATTTACATCTAAGAATTTCAATTTGTTTCTACCACTTCTCATTTGATTTTGCATAATGAATTTTAGATGTTTTTTACAGTTGAAAATGACATTTAAATATATCAAGACACTGTCCCCCATAAATCCTCACAAAGAATCTAT